GATAACAGTAAAAGAAGATCCAACAGTTTGAGTGAAGAGTGAGTGATCAGCAGCAGATTGAGTGAAACCATCAGAAAATAATACAGATGAGAGCTTGGAGTACCAATTACGAGAAGCCTGCTTAAGACCATAAAGAGATTTTATTAGACGACAAACATGAGTGTCCCCCTCTCGTCCATAACTAGGAGGAAGTGACATGTAGACCTCCTTATCCAAAACACCATGAAGGAAAGCATTGTTGACATCAAGTTGATGAAGATGCCAATTACGGGCAGCTGCAATTGCTAATACACAACGAATAATAACAAGTTTGGCCACAGTGGCAAAAGTGTCATGGTAATCAAGACCCTCAACCTCAGTGTAACCTTTGGCCACCAACCGAGCTTTATACCTTTCGACGGAACGATCTGCATGTAATTTAGTTTTGAAGATCCACTTACAACTAATAGGTTTCTTACCAGGGGGAAGCGGAGTAAGATACCAAGTATGATTAGTTTCAAGGGCTTGAAGCTCAGCCTGCATAGCATCACGCCAGTGGGAGTGCTTAGCAGCTTGAGAGTAACTAGTAGGGTCAGAAGATTGTGAGAGAGCAGATAAAAAGGCAAAGTGATTAGCAGAAAAATTATCATATGAGACAAATTGAGAGAGTGGATAAGCCGTACTTGAAGATATGATTATAGCAGTTGAAGACGTAACAGAAGAACATGAAAGTAAGGTAGGACAGACATAATCAGTGAGACGGGTAGGACGGTGTGAAGTATGACGGTAGCGAGGGGCTGGAGAAGAATCTGGAGTGGGGAAAGGATTTGTTGGTGGGATAGGAGGTTCAGGAATAGGAAGTGGTAAGACAGTAGGTGCAGGGATAGGTAGAGTAGCAAGTTGGAAGGGAAAAGCATGTTCGATAAAAGTGACATCTCTAGAGATGACAATCTTCTTGGTTTTGAGGTCATAGACCCGATATTCACTGTGAGAGGAAGGATATCCTAAGAAAACGTAGAGACGAGCTCGAGGTTGAAACTTATCACGATGGGCAGAAATGGTATGGACATGGCAAAGGCAACCGAAGACACGTAAATAATCATATTTAGGGGCATGTTGGTAAAGGCGTTCACATTGGGAAATATTTTTTAGAGATGATGAAGGCGTGCGGTTGATAAGGTATGTAACGGTGAGCACGCACTCTCCCCAAAAAATAAGAGGACTACACTGCTTTGTTGCGGTGTTTCCACACAAGTACGTTCATGCCGTGTTCTGCAAAAAAATCCTGTGTAGTGCGAGCAAGGAATTCTTGGCCATTGTCAGTACGTATATGACGTATTTTGGAATTGAATTGTGTGTGGATCATAGCAAAAAATGCACAGAGATAAGTCAAAGTTTCGGATTTGAGACGCATTAAGTATACACACGTAACTCGAGTAAATTCATTAACTATGGTTAAAAAATAATGAGTGCCAGATAGAAAAGCAGTATGATAGCCACCCCAAATATCACAATATATGCAGTCAAAAGGCAACAAACTTTTATTAGCAATTAGTTTAAAAGGTAAACGAGTATATTTTCCATGACGACTAGCATCACAATGATCAATATCTTGCGGACGTGAAATAAATTGCGGAATATTATGTAAAGAAGGGTGACCCAAACGTTGATGCCATGTATTGAATGAGATATGATTGGAGGACTGGAGAACAATTGGTGGAGCATGCTTGAAATAGTATAGCCCGTCACGCTCTTCACCCACTCCAATCGGCATCTTTGTGGCTAGGTCCTGAAATATACAGAAAGTGGGAAAAAAAGAAACAACACAACTAAGAGATTTTGTTAATTGCTGACAGATAATAAATTAAATTGAAAATTGGGAGCAGATAAAACATCAGAGAGAGTTAAACAAGGAGATAAATACAAATCATCTATAGATGATATGGGAACATGTGTACCTGTAGGTAAAGAAACAAAAGGGGGGCAATTGGAAGATTTTAAATTAGTGAGGGGGCAAGAGGTAATATGATTTGTTGCCCCACTATCTATTATCCATGGAGGCCGATTCTGTAAAGAATAAGAAGAAAATTTTGGGGATAAAATTGGGTCTTGCTTTATGGTACCTGCGAATGCCTTGGAGGAAGGTTTTAAGAGTTACAATAATTGGTTGTATTGCTCGGTGGAGAGGCTTGGGGTGACATTCTTGGTGGAGGAATTTTGAGTTGTCGTGACTTGATGTATCGTCGGTGGAGGTGTTCGGCCTGTGCTGTGTTTCTTCTTGGAGGGCCACCATTCAGGATATCCCAAGAGTTCAAAACATTTGTTACGAGTGTGACCTAGTTTACCACATTCTTCACATAGGGGAGGTCCAGTTGGTCGAGTTCGGATTGCACGGGAGGTCCCCTGTTGCGATGGGTGAGCTAGAAGTGCTGAAATTTCCGGTCTAGAAGAGGGTAATTGAACCATTCGCTGTGTCTCTTCCTGATGTAAAATAGCATAACACCGCCCAATTGGAGGTAACGGGTCCATAGCTAAGATTTGTGATCAAAGCTGTTGAAAGCTGTCATTTAGACCCATGAGAAATTGATAAACTCGATTGGTTTCTTGGGCTTTAGATAAAGATTTGGATGCTCTGAAGGTACATGAAACAGTTGGTTGTAAAAAGGCTAATTCATCTCATAGCTCTTTCAGTTTTCCATAGTAGTTAGTGATTGATTGGTGTTTTTGGCGAAGACTGGCGAGATCACGTATGAGGCTAAAAATTTTCGTTTGGTTGCTTTGTTGAAATCTGGTCTTCAGTTCAACCCATAGGTCATTGGGTGTTTCACAATAAAGGAGACTTCCGATGAGAGATCGATCAATGGAATGAAGTAACCATGACATTATCATGTTGCAACATCGGTCCAAAAGGAGTGCGGCAGCTATGTCCGTGGTTGGGCGTTTGATGGTGCCAAGGACAAATCCTAGTTTATTTTTTGCATTCAAGGCGCGTGTTATTGATCGACGCCAGGCAGGGTAATTGTCTCCATTTAGAAGAGCATCAATGAGGTGTTGGTTTGGTTGGTCAGATGTGTGCGGGTAATATGGGGAAGAGGCATCTATGAGGGATTTGTTGGCTTTCATGACAGGTTCGGCCATGGCAGAGCCGCAGAGGTAGGGTATGGATTTTGAAACCTAAAGCTCTGATACCATATTAAATTTCATATGAATGAAGTAATTTTTCATTGATTTGATTCAATATAAAATTGAGTATATAATACACGTTTAGTTGGCTGAAAATAAGAAACAAAACTAAACGAGGAATGAACTAATATAAGATATTGACAAAAAGGAAGGAGAATTTTAGTTTCTGTTAATATGGATCATTAAATGGTGATACTGGGTAGAGCCTTAGTGCATCTTTTTGGCAAGTCAAAAATGCAAATAACTTCTCAAATTGTTAACGGAAAAATAAAATTACAATCAACTTTTACACAATATCAAGAAAGCCACAAAACACATAACTTTTTGTTTCTTATTTAGGTCAGAAAATATGATCTGTCCTATAATCCAAGGATTTAGTCAGAATTGAGATCTCAAGTCAATGGAAAAGTAGAACATGTGAGGTTCGAGAAAAAGAATTTTAACCTATGATTTTAACAAGAAAACATCCAATAACTATAGCAGAACATAGCAGCCAATGAAATAATGAGTATACAATATGAGTTTCACGCAGAAACTGTTAGATTTTAATGTAATTGGCAATTTGTGAATAAAAATGACTAAATTGAAAATGTGTAAAAATCAATGAGTTAGGTGCATTTTGCATAAATGAGTTTGGTAGGTTAGAGTTCGAGTTCGGAATAAGGAAAGAAAAGTCGCTGCAATTTCGCTCACCTCTCGCCAAGACATTGCTTGAGTGACAAAAACAGAATGTTCGTCTCTCGCTTGTCGCCCGAACTTCACTTGAGCGACAAGCCCTTCGCTTTCTTTTCGCTCTAGCGATAGTGGTATGTGAGGAAATCTAATTCACATTTTTGGAGAGTTTTACACGGCCCATACTACCTAAACACCTCCAACTATAATTCCCAAGCCTTGCACGATTTTGAGTGTGGTCGTTCATTAAGCTGATGGGTCGTTCATTAAGCTGATGGTACATTCATATCATCTCATGAAGATCCAAGAACATATTCAACCTTTGATTCAATCCATTCTTTCTTGAGATCATACAATCATAGATTTGGAAAAAACATCAAGGTTTTAGAATCCAAAACACTCACTTCCTTTGTACAACAAGGAAGATACATTCTCAATTGGAACTTTAGAAACTGCTGAAAATTGAGAAATGTTGGACTACAACACAAGAAGAAGAGCAAGAATTGGTGATTTTTGGGTATCCACTTGGAAGAGACAATTGTAGAAGATCGGAAAGCTGGTGGAGTCAGCAAATCTTGAAAATTACAGGAAGTAGATCGGGAGGTCTAGTGAAGTTGGTTAGGTAGCATCTAATTGTAAGGTTTATTGTTTATAGTGGAGATAACTGACTAGGTCACAAAATTTTTACCCAGTTGGATTTCTCCGTCAACAATTACTGTATTCTTTACTACTTTCGTATTACAAAATGCCGTATTCAAACATAGAAAAATTGACTTGTATACTTAATTATCTAGAAACTATTAAAAAAATGACTTATTACTTTTAATAGAATTATTCTACACATAAGGTCAAAATATATTGGCTAAGTAAGAGTTTTTCAGAAACTTATTAGGCACTTATTCTCTTTATGAGTGCTTGTTTTTCTGCAATTCTGTGAATGAAACTCTTCGTTTTTTTGTGGTTCCAAAGGTTGAGTTTGCTCGTGCTGCGAAGGAGACTGGGCAATGTAGTCGATGGTTGATTTTTGGATGAAATGTGGAGAAAATTGAGCCCTAAGCTTTATACATCTGTTCTTGATGTCAAATACAATGTGTATAGATTTTAGGCATTTTACTATTGTAATTTGAAGTTGATTTTAGGCATTTTACTATTGTAATTTGTGGTTGAAAACTTGAGATTGAGGTTTAATTTGTTACAATAGACCAATAAGAGGTAGTGGGTGGTGCATAAGACATGATAGTCAGTGTACCAAAAAGATATCTCTGGACAAGGAAGAAATAAATATTGCATTACTAGGGTTCAAATAAATAAATATTGTATCGAACAGAAAACATGATGGAATTATGTTGCGTCAATTGGTGAACTTCCATTATTAAGGCATAAGTTTCGGCGACAAACAATGGGTTCGTATATACATGTGCTGTTAGACAAATTTATTTTTATTGAGAAATCAAAGCTATATTAGATTACATTTAGCAATTTTATCTCTTATTAAAGTCACTACTAATATCATAGTTAGCATTATCATCACTATCGATCATAAATATTTCTTTTTGTTGTTCTATTCCTCAGAACTTGGTTCGTGCTTGATCAAAACAAAGTGTTTAATCCATACAAAAATAAAATGTGGTAAACTATATAATTCTCTATCAACTTTACATATCTAAATACTAGTGGAACAGTTCCATTATAGGGTTTATTAATGTGAAGTACAAACACTTATTGATGAATACCTCTAATCATAACAAACATGCACGGAGTTTTAATTTCAAAGTTGCTGATACACATTATCAGACAGTCTAGGTTTCGCTTGTAGGAACAATGGCTTAGCAAGCAAGAGATTATCCTCGGACTCATTTAAGTCAATATTTGGCACATTAGATGGGGCACTCCAAGTGAACCCTTGAATCAGCCTAGCTAATAGCATTGTAGTCAAGGTAGAACCAAGTAAAACACCAGGGCATCCTCGCCTTCCAGTACTGAATGATAACATGTTCAGTTTAGAATCCACAAGAACAACTTCCGAGCCATCATCATTGAGGTGACGCTCAGGCTTATACTTTAAAGGCTCTTCCCAAATTCTTGGATTGCGACCAAGACCACGACGACTTAGTATCACATGGCTACCCTTTGGGATAAAGTAGCTAGCTATACTTGAATCTTCTGTAGATACATGTGGAACATTAAAGGGTGCTATAGGATGGAGCCTAAATGCCTCTTTTGCGCAGGCCTTCACATAGTTCAACTTCGTTAGATCTGATTCTTGAACTAGTGTATCTCTTCCGACCACTTCGTCCAATTCTTCGGTAGCCCTTTTCAAAATCTCAGGTTGATTAACCATCTCTGCAAGTGACCACTCAACAGCATTTGATGGATTGTCCACTGTGGCTATCATTATTTCCTGCAAGTATTAATTAATTCCAAAAAAATAATCTTAAAAATAAGGTTTCTAATGGTTTAATCTACGATGGCTAGTTGAGAACTATTAACTATCTTCAACATAATTAATATTCAATCATGCTACTTATACAATCTTTTTTATTTTTATTTTGGTTCACAATCATATTTGACAACATCACATTCATCAATTTCAATTTTTTTTTTTTAAATTAATGATCCAAATTTTGACAATACCATGTTGTCATCCATTATTGTCAACCACAATTGTACGAATAAATTAATTCAGTAATATTATGAAATTTGATTAAGCTTATTGAGAATCATTTTTCAGTTTAAGTAAATTAAACACGTGCTGTCAATTTGTGATCCCTTAATAAATTGTGTTACATACCTTGCTCAATTTACCATATACAAAGGACAATAAGCCCCTATTTGGTGGCCTCCCTTTTTTTTGGAAAAACATTGTTTTAAATATGAAGTTTTGGAAGATGTGTAGTTAAAAAGTATGAAAATCTTGGATTTATGTCTAAAATATTTTATTACGTGAATATGTAGTTAAAAATAAGTATGTAGAATAAATAGTTTAAAAGAATGAGAGACAAACATGGGCTAAATTTTGTACTTTCGGTCCTAGAATATGTGAAATATTCCTAGAATATGTGAAATATTGTGAGAGTTGAATAGGGTGGTAGATTTGAGGAGATCGAATCCATGCTTACAATAATTTGGGCTTTAATCTCTTCAGTTGTCAAAAGCGGAGAACCGTCTGAGTCCTTCAAGTTTATCATAACATCAAGAATATCTTCTTCATTTGCCTTGCTCCCACTTTTCCACATCTGAATCCTATGGTCTATTTCAGGATCATGGTATTCAGTTAGATTCCCAATAGCTTTCTTCAGCTTCCCTTTATAGCCATCGAAGTCGAAGATCTCCAACCAGGAGACATAGTCTGCAATGCTGAACGAGTAGAGATGAGACAGAATTGAAAAGATTGCCTCAATGTGCTCTTCCTCTTCAGTACCTGGCCCTCCATCTTCCATACCTTTTCCAAAGTAACTTTTACTGAATATGTACTGTCTGATCACGTTTCCACTGTACTGTTGCGCTGCCATTCTTACATTGATCAAACCACCAGCTTCCAAAGAATTCTTGCACTGATTATAGGCATAACGAACAAGATTATCAGCTTCCTTCACTCTTTTATCTTGAAGCCAAAGGTGCTTTGCTGGTGAAAGAATATGTGAAGAAAGAACCCTCCTCATTTTCCTCCATTGATCACCCACGGGTGAAAGTATTGTAGTTAAGTACCCATTGCTAGTCAATCTTGCAGACATGAAATCTGGTCTTGATGCAAAGGTTATGTCCTTCTTCTTCAAGAACTCTCGTGCAAGTTCAGGAGAAGTCACAGAAACAACATGCACCTTACCAAGACGGATACAAGCAATTTCAGTGTTCATCTCATCCATCAGATTGTGAATCCATCTGAAGGTTGGCTTGTTAACAAGCATTTGGATTAGACACCCAAAGACGGGTAACCCAGTTGGCCCTGGAGGGAGTTTCATTTGTTTCCTGTGGACAGACCATTTGAAGATGACTGCCTTTCGAAAATTTTGAAAAACAAGAACTATTAGTACAACAAAGGATAGGGAAATGTAAAAAACAATGGAGTTGCTCACCATTGTATTAATGATTTGATATACTGTTATTATGCAGTTTTTTCTGTCTAGTGATTGGTTTAATATATAGTGCAAGTGTTTGTGGGATATGTTGAGAAAAATGTAGGGAAATCTGAAAATTTAACGAACTCCAAGGCACGAAAAAATGTTATCTTTTAAGAGATGTTTCTCCCCTATCCAACGAAGTCACAACTAGGATATGATAGAAAATCTCACTCAGGATACAATGGAGGCGTTTGATTCAAATTGTGACTATTTGATCAAACCAAGAAGACACTCGAAAAGAACTGATGATGCCAAGAGAAAGAGAGAAGAATAATTTTTTCATGTGTTTTGCAAATGAGAATTCGCCCAGAATTTATAGAAATTGAGGCAACCGTTTGAATAGGTGTGTCCCTTGGAATGAAGAACACATCTGTTAGAAGGAACTGTCAAAATGAACAGATCCCCGTTGCGTAGCGGCAAATACTAGTCAGGGTGACAAATCATTTTCAAAACAAAAGAAAAATAAATACATGCAAAATGATGAAAAATATCTAACAGGATATGTACGTAAGAAGTTACAAGGAAATGGCAAAACTCATTACAGGCTACAAAAACAGTTGTTATGTATTAAGATTTGAGATTCCTATTAAAAGGTCAATTTTGTTAAAAGAAGTAGTTCAAATCTTCATAAATTGGTTGTATTTTTCGTCTTTATTCGATTTGAAATTTTATCCCTAACATTTTGGGTCTGAAAAACTAATTATTTTATGCGAAAATTTAATTGTGTATTATATTGGATTGTTAATAATCAGGTTGAAGTCAACATAACGAGGAAAGGAAATCCCCATGAAATTTATGACAATGGGAAACCTATTAATAATTACCCACAAAAAATATTTTTAAGATCTACAGAAATCCGTGGATTTGATGAGACACGTTGAGGAACACGCTAAATTTTATTTCTCCGTTCATTTTTCTTGACTTGGAAAATTCAGAATCAAGCATGGAAGTAGTAAATTGTGGTACGTCGTTGTTGAGTTAGTAGATAAAAGTTTGTTTGGTTCTAGCAAGTGAACATCTTGAGATTGAAAAATTGAGCTAGAGCACATAAGCTATGTGTGATTTGATAATTATATAGTAAATTGCAGCCAAAATGATTATGGTTTCCATGGAACCTGTGGTTCAACTAACTATGTTCCGTTTGCACGGTGTATTTATAAACAGGAAAGTATCAATTCGGGTTTTTTAACATTCCAAGTATAGAGGTTTTGGTCGTACATTAACATGCTATGGACAAAGAAGAAAATGACGATGGTGATGAGAGTTTACAAAATTTATTTCAGAAGAAATAAAATTACATTGCTGATCAAAATTTGAAGGAGGGACCATATCACATAAAGTTGGTGAATTAGGCAGTTCTGATTCTTCTTTTTTATCTTCATATTGAGGTTTTGGAATATTTGGATTGAAATCAAGACTAGTTAAAGAGGATGTTGAAAATCTAGTAGATTGAAAATGAGTATCTCTAGATCTATTATCAGATCTAGCAGAAAAAAAATCTTTGAAATGAAGATGAAGATGACCCTTTAAAATTCATCTTAACATTTCCAGTAGGACAAGTAACAATTTGATTAGGAATAGTTTGAACAGGAGTAGTAATAGGATTCTGAACATTTTCAAAATTTCATTCAAGTCCTCTAGATTGAAAATGCCAAGGAACTCTCTTGGGAATTATAGTATTTGAATTGAAGAGGATTGACTTCTATCAAAAGACTTTCATCTTTTGGAGATAAACGAAGAGCACCTATGTTGAGTTGAGTATTCACGAGTTTGTAATATATTCTATATATTATAGCAAAAGTATTTGAACGATCATCAAAATCAAGATTTTTTGTTTAAATGTGAAGATTATTAAGATAAATTGAAAATTTTGGATAACAATTTGAAAATACGGGACCGCTTTCAAGAACAGATAATAATGAATTTTCAAATTTGAAAAGTCTCTTGTCTCAAAGGGTTAAGAGAATAGGAATGTCTAAACCAAGTCGAAACAATGGTTTGACACTAATTTGAATTAATCCAACATAAAGATATTTAAATTTCTTCCTATGGGATTCTAAAGCATCTTTTGAAAATAAATTGATAAAAGCATTTTGATTTTTAATGGGTAATGTTAGTTCAAAAGTTTTGATAACATAATTTTGAGTAAAATCAACCTTTTCTGTTTCATAGATAGAGTTTTTCTTTACCTTTGGAATAGTCTAGTTATGCAATTTTTGTCAATTTGAACGATTTGATGTTCATGACTATTGAAATTTTTTGATACAAATTTCTTCTTCACTTTGAAAACATTTGAAATATTTTCAAATCTATTTTTAGATCTCCATGATCAATTTGAAGTCTAAGACATAATTAAATAAAATGAAATTATAATAATTTAATACAATAAAAATAGTACAAAAGAATAGACCGACTCTTACCAAGCCTGCAACGGGACCATTCAAACAAGCTAACACTGGCTTAACACGGATTGACCAACGCTATTCAGTAGACATCAAGGTCTGACTTAGGTTCTCCTATTGAACAGTGCCTATAATATTGTATTAATAAATATTCGACCTACAAGAGCATATATAACCAAATATTACAAAGCACTGCATGTTACATTAATAAACTACTCATACTAGCATATTAAAAATACATATTCAAAGACTCAGTACATGCAGTGAATAATCGTTGGATTGAGTGGCAGATGAATAATCGTTGGATCATCATTTTGGTTCTCTTTCTTATAAAATGAGAAATGTGACTCTAGGGCTTCAGAAGGCACATCCCTTTTTACTGTATATTTTTCATCTTCTGAATGAACTCCATATAATTTCTTAGTGAAATCATATTAGTGTGAGAGAGAGAGAGTGAAATGATCTATCTCTTGGCGAGGTTGTGTTGTAATTTTGAGGGCTAAACTGTTGTTAAGAGATAGAACACTGGCGTTCTTCTGTAACTGTGGTTTTTGCTTGTTTTGGAGCTGTGCTGGTGGATTCGAGCAAAATTCTAACGGATGCTCAACGGGGGATTAAGCGTCAGAAGCGGTTGTCAAACCTCCGGGGCCTTGGGCTAAAAAATTCCTCTGTGTTCTTATTTTCTAGCAATTGATTTTTGTGTATTTTCGTTTAATTAGTCGAGTCACAAAAAGTAGTGTAATCCTGGGACCTACAAACATGAATATATCAATGCGGGTTTTTAACATTCCGAATATATAGAAGCTTTGGTCGTATACTAACATGTTATGGACAAAGAAGAAAATGAAGATAGTGATGAGAGCTTACAAAATTTATGCATGATTGAACATATGATGACACTAAGCTTGAAAATGGCTCATGAGATGTAAAGATAACTAGGTTTTTAATTCCTTAGCTCCCAATATTCTCAACCAATAAAGTTTCCTAGATTAAACTTTGTTAACTTGAGGTTACGTTGTACACAGCCTTCTCAAAATTGTATTCTAATTTATTACACACACACACACACCACCTGCTAGTTGGGTTACAAAAATAAAAACGGCATATTTTCATAAAATTACCTTAAAATTAGAATCTAACATATCGTAAAAAGCATATATAACCTAATATTACAAAGCATTGCATGTTACATTAATAAACTACCCATACTAGTATATTAAAAATACATATTCAAAGACTCTGTACATCATGTACAAATTAATAAATGAAAAAAAAGGACTAACTACATGTGAATAAATAAATTATCAAATTATACTACATACTACGCAATTTCATGTACATGCCAAAACCCAAGTTGTTAGAGGCCAATAATAAAGTTAATTATTGTATTATTCAAGAGCAAGTCAATTTTTATTGGTTAAAAACTCTATTGGTCACCAAATGTTCAAATTCTATTCCTTTAGCCTGAAATATTTTTTTGCATAAATAGTCACCGGACATACGAAATTATTTTAATGATATCACTTTCCACATACCCATTAATAAAATTGATGGTTTTGTTGAGAAATTTGACATCATCGCTGTGTGATTACCGGGTTCGACAAGATTAAAGAACAAGTCAATTTTTAAAGGTTAAAAGCTCTATTGGTCACCAAACGTTCAAAATCAGACATACGGAATTATTTTAGTTATATTACTTTCCACATACTCATCGATAAAATTGATGGCTTTGTTGAGAAATTTGACATCATTGCTATATGGTTACCGTGTTAGACGAGATTCAAGAGCAAGTCAATTTTTAAGGGTTAAAAACTCTATTGGTCACCAAACGTTCAAATTCTATCCCTTTAGCCTGAAATATTTTTTCACATAGTCTCAGGACATACGAAATTATTTTAGTTATATCGCTTTCCACATAACCATTAATAAAATTGATGGTTTTGTTAAGAAATTTGACATCACTGCTACGTGATTACCAGATTTGACGAGATTGTATTAATGAGCTAAAACAACCACTTTCATATGCAATTTACTCATCCATTACCCATTTAAACATTTCAAACTTTTTCGTCTTAACCGGTTACTTTATTCAGTCTTTGTATGTTTTTTTTTGTTGAAAAATAAACTTTTAGTGGATTTTGATAAAAGATGATAAAATATGGTTGAAAAGTTAATAATAGATGTAGATCCCATGAAATTTAAAGTTAAAATTAATTATTAGCTTTGACTTAAATTTTTATCAACTTTTTCAGTTACACCAAAAAAAAGCTTAATGCAAAGGTTCTGAAAATCAATATTACCATAAAATTAGAATCTAACATATTGTCTTATAGTACAGCAAAGAGCATATATAACCTGATATCACAAAGCATTGCATGTTACATTAATAAACTACCCATACTAGTAGATCAAAAATACATATTCAAAGACTCAATACATCATGTACAAATAAATAAAAGAAAAAAAAGGACTAACTACATGTGAATAAATAAATTATCAAATTATACCACATACTACGCAGTTTCATGTACACGCCAAAACCCAAGTTGTTAAGAG